ATTTGCTGTCATGTTAAACTTATATTAAAGTTTTTCTTCATTACCCATTTAAGCCGTCTCCAGCCATTATTAGCCCAAGGAGGTTGCTTCACTCATGGTATTTCAAGCTTTGATTTAACATTTTACTTCACAACTTCTCCATTTGTTATTAAAACACCAATGTGGGATTAATCAAAGCCTGAACACTTTAACTGCTTTTAAGTTTTTATTTAATTTTAAAAAATTCCACATCTTTGTGTCCATCTTCCTAGTTCTAATTTATTAGCCACAACCTGCTCAGCTTCTCATCACCTTTCCTCAAATACAGAAAACTAAAATTAGACTTATTCAAGACAATAACCTTGTTAACATTAAACTCGTAATCTGTGCAATGAAATCACATAACACTGTTGGCTTTTTTTTTCACTACAATAAAAGTCACCTGAAGATTTCTAGTTTTCACCACTATTCACTTCACCCCCCCCCCCCCACTGCCCACCAAAACATTGAAACCAAACACAATGTAACCCTCACACAAAACTTTAAAAACAAATCAAACCAAAAATACACACCATGTTATTAGGCAAACTATTCAAGCAGTCCATAACTTTAATAAAAAAATAACTTGTACAAACAAGTCTGCTTCTCAGCTATCCAAATAGTGGGGACCAAGCCCCAGTTCCCACTCCACTGATACTTACCCATTATTTTAGTATCATCACCAAATTGATCATCTTGAGAAAAATAAAAAATGAAGGGCATTCACCTCTTGAATGTGATATGTTACCAACCACATTCACCAACAAACTCAAACATTACATACAAGTCTCCGATTACATTCAGTAAAGGCAAAAAAAAAGTTAAAGCATACATCATCACATCAACAAGCAAGTCATTCCACAATTTTGCAACTCTTTCCACAGATACTTTGAGCTTCCAAAACTCATATCTATTCCTCCTTATGTTTAGGTTTATATGCAAACCTTTTCTTTTCACTACTAATAGGAAGACTGTCCAAACCTTGACAATTTTGAAGATATCAATCAAGTCACCTCTACTTCTTTAATGCTCTAAAGTAAAATAAAAAAGTCCAATGAGAACCTTCCATTCACACACACACACAAAACCTATGTTATAAGTGGGTGCAAGTCTGAAACATGATAATGAGGAGGATTTATATGAGCATTCCATACATGTGTTTATGGCAAAGGAAAATACATCAGTTCTGTTTCTTCCCAATCTTATGTCTCACTCTGTTTCAAATTCTAGGATAAAAATGTTATATGTGTCTATCTTAAGTTTTATTTCATAATAAATCTTCATGTGACCATTTTGGAAAACTACTTATATATAGTATTCAAGAGGTTTACAAGTACATTCCATATTATGTTACACAAGGAAAAACATGAAATTATGCACCTCCCCGACAAACAAGTGTGCCATGCTTATTTATAATTTCAACTTCAACTTGATTTTTGTGTTTTAGCCTTCATATCCAGTAATTACTCAAGTTTTTTTTTAAGAAGGGATCTTGCTTTCAACCAACCAATTACTATATGATTATTATTACCATGTTTTAACTGGGACATTTTCTTTCTTTTCATACAGGTGACACATAATAGCTGTAAAACAGTTTAAATTATAACAATACAATTTTTACCATTTGCTAAATAATCCAATACTTATTGTATCACATTTTAAAACCACGGAATTTTTTTAAAAATCTTATCTGGTTTAAAAATAAAAAATGCATCTAAACAATCTTGAATCCACTCAAAAAATAAAAGAAAAAATGTAATTATTATTATTCTTTTTTTCATGACTAGGTAGGCTTTCAAATCTCAATTCCTGCAGCTGCCTAATGAGAGATTAACAAAATAAAGCAGAGTGGAAGAGAACACTTTACCATATGCTTTGTCTTTATCAGGTGATTCTCTAAGTAAAAGGAGCCATGTACATGTCACTTACATTTAAGTAGAGAGAAAACTAGGTCCATTTAACACTTTTACTGCTTCCAATCAGGATGAAAAAGAATATTAAAAATTGGGATGTCTGGTAACCCTACAAATGAATGTTTCCCAACCAGCAGACTGTCAAAACCATCTCTGTGGTCAGTGGGATTTCACAAAAACTGACAGAGTATTCATGTGTAAATTGTAATGGTTTTTCATTGTACTTGCATTTTTGCAGTCCACAACAATTTAAGGAAGCAGCAAATCAGTCCCAGTATAACAACCCCTACCAGTGATACTGAAAATGTTCAAAAACACTGCTATAAACGATAAATTGATATCTTTCATGTATATCATTACGAGTTATAACGGCTACTTATGGAATAACAAAAAATAAGTATTTCTCATTGTTTGACAATAGTGCAGATGAGATAGTAATAAGCTATTTAAATATGACTTTTCCTATAGTATTGTATACATATTTTTCACAAATTTAAAGTATCAGAGCACCTTCCTCCCAGAACCTATCCGTTTCACGCACTAGTTTCATAGAACTCGGAAGCGTATCACTCTATCTATCATCATTATCGTAATAACTAATAAACATTATCGTAATATGATTATAAATTAGCTCGAAACGTGCAGTTGTAACTCAGCTTTAACTTAAGTTAACAAACTACTAAAGACAGAATTGGTGAATTTAAAGGGAACTTAGAAACAGAAGTCAGAAAAGTTACGAATACGAGGGTCGTTAACATTAACAGTTGAAAGACTCAGCTTAATGAATACT